AGTTATAAATATATGTATGTAAATATGAATAAAGGGATGCATATTTAAATACATCCACAACATACATATTTTATAATAAAGTAATATATGTATGATTAAAATATATTTAGGCCTCCTCATCATTAATTTTTCTTATTTCTTTATAATATTTATGTTCACAAAACGGGCAATTCTTATTTACATTATCATACCTTTAATGCAACGGGGGAATTCAAAAGAATTGTTGAACGGAGAAGTATCATAAGTAGTGTCGAAATCAAGGGATTCATGATGAAATTGTACCACAAACAAATCCATTATCCGGGATTCTGGGAGAATCTATAGAAAAAGTTTTGCAGCAATTATATCAATATGGAATCGTAAAAAAAATACTTTAGTAATATGCGCTAGCTGTTACTTTCTACAACTAAAAAAACTATTGCTTATATCTTTATGTTCTTAAAAAATATAATAATTATGCTTCTTTAGCATAATGTATAATATAACTTTTTCATTAAAGATACTTTTAAAATTATTTTAGAATTATATTACACACATATACACAGTATCTACTGTAAGGATATATATCGTAGGTACTTATCATTTTTTAAGTAATAATATATTTTAATCAAAATTTTATAATAATATTTAAAATTTTCTAATAAGATTAGCATAGCAATAGGAGAGATGATATATAAAAGATATATAAAAGATACATAAAAGTTTATATTTTATATGAAAAATTTAAGATTATATAAAGAGCATGCTAAATATATATTTTAAAATATTGCTTTGCTTGCGAATGGAAAGAGAAACAATTAGCATTAAAAATATTTTAAAATAACCTTATGTATAGTATATGTTCCAAAGAATCTAATAAAACAATCGTTAAACCAAAATGATTTGTATGATGTCCGAACTAACTCATAAATATTGTAAAACCATTCCTGTGACACTTTAGGTCCTACTACGCGAGCTATATCGACTTTACGTGCAGCAGAATCTACATTTTCATCATAGATAATATCTTCCTCTCTGAAAATGATAAAAATTTTTAAGAATGTTTATTTATATGCTAAAAATTTACAGTACATATATTTGTACATAAATGTAATATTAAAAACTCGATTCGCTTAAATAATGGTACACTTAGTTGATTGTAGATTGAAAAGACAGAAATATTTTTTTATTATGTGACATAAATAAATGATATAATAAGTAAAAATAATAAAAACTAGAATACGTAATATAAATATACGGTTTGCTTACAAATCAAAGTATGATGTATTTCGTATATATACATATTTATACATATATATGATATCAAATATTAACATGTCATTAATATGTTATTATGTTTTTATATATAAATATATATATATATATATACAAGAGGCTGATTTTTCAAATAAAAATAAATCGAAATTGCAGTATAAAATTTCATTTCTTGAATTAAAAAAGTTTTTTTTAGGAAATTTTTAAAAGAAAATATCATGTCTCATTTTAATTTATATATTCTATGTTAAAGTGCGCACTGGACACTGTAAACAGAAAAATATATAGTCGTCTGTATCGAAATCCGTCCAATGGCATTACATATATTCATGACATACTATGTTATATATATATATGTCAATATATATGACATTATATATATATATAAATCTGCATATCAAAGATAGTTTAGTTTATATACAATAGAGTGTCTGTATGTATATGTTTGTGTGCGTTATAAATAATGTCTATAATTTAATAATATACATATAATTTTAGGATTTTAAGAGTTACTCACCATTTATCTTTTTGTTCGTAAAAAGTTGTTGACCTTGTATCATTATGTATAATATCATAATATTTCATATTTAAAATGTAACGTCCCGATGATATCAGATTTATAAAAAAAATCTCGAAACTTTCATTTGTATCGTTATAGAAATATTTCACCGGGTATACAATCATTTCTTTATTGTCATATTCGTGAAATTTCGGTGGATTATCAGTCATGATTATATCATATATACATTTAATTTTTGAATACAATGTTAGATATTGTGTTGGTACAAGAATCTGGATGCTAATGTTGCATTCGCCGTAGAAAATATTTAGTACGATATCTGGTACAAGTTGGATATTATAATGCTCCGGCATTATGTTGTAAATGTTTTGTAAATATTTTTCATATAGTTCAATTTGGACGTCAGTAAAAAACGCCTTTGCAGCAATAAATGTTAAACAGCTATTTAACAATAGTTTTAGAAATACCATGTTAATTTTTGCCTCCGATATCTGCTGAAACATTTCTTTGTTAGAAAGAGAACAAACAAGAAAACTAAACTTAGCACAGAACTTTCTTCCTTGCCAAATTCATCTAATTGAGATAATATTTTCGATATATATGTCATTTATAAAATAAAAAATTACATTTAATTATAACGAAAACCTGAACAGATTATTAGCTATTAATTTAAAAATTGAGTAAGACTTTTCAGCCTTAACGGAAAACCGCTTTGAATTTGCAACAAAGAAACTGGATCTGTAAATTATTCGAAATATTGTTTTACATGCGTTTTGCAACGTTACACGTTGTAAATTTCGTTCCGTCTCTATCTGTTCTATATGATCGATACAGTTCTGTTTATTTATTTTGTGTTGTATACATATTCGTTGATTATTTATTTAGTATGATTAATTATATTTGAATTTTATTTAACACATCTTCTCATAAATAAATCGAATCAATTTAATTATTCTTCTAATTATTTCTTCAATTACTTTTTTTCTTTGTTTTTATTTATTATAATAATTAATTTTTTTTACTGATAGATAGTATCTCTGATGTAAAATGAATATAAATTTTAAAAAGATTTTGCTTAAGCATCTTGCTTAATTTTATATTTTTGTAAGCTTAGATATTTAAACACGTACGAGAGAGAAAAAAAGAAAAAGAAAGAAAAAAAGAAAGAAAGAAAGAGAGAAGATAGAAGTGTTCTATTTTTAATAACTCACTTTTTATATTGAGATACGTGTACCACTTTGTATGCAAGTGTACATTTCTTTGCAATAATTAATGGCAATAAATCGACGCACTATCACTATTATCACACTGTGATCTCCATGATTTTACCATTCCAAAAGGTCATCAAGGACTAACAATGTTCGATACACGACATTGCAATAAATACGTATGTTATGTCAACGACTTCTAAGATGATAAATATATATCTTGTTGATCATACGTACAATAAATGTTATCAGATATTAGCACGTAATAAAAAAAAATCGTATTTAAAATATAAATTTTAATAATACAATTCCACTTATTTATTATATGTTGTATTTGTATTTGTCCGTTATTTAATAAAATTAAATTTTTTAATATATTGTCTCATAATAGGAAATCGAATACAGATCGAAAACAATTGTTTTATTTATATTTCTTATAATACTACACCTGAGCACATATCTCCTGAATGTTTAACACATTAACATAACTAGATCTTTAATAAAATTATTAAGAGCTGCACGTAAATATATCTATGCTTTTGAAAAACGAATAGCAAAATAAAAAAACTAATATAATAATAATCAGAAATATTATTATATCAGACAACTAATATAATAATAATCAGAAATATCATTAGATGTCCCAAAAGTAATACATATTTAAGGATATTACCAAACAAGTTTTAAGTTGCTTAATTATATATTATAAAAATTATATATTATCAATAGGAGAACAATTATTTAAAGCAGATAAGTACATCTATGAGTGCATGAATGGTATTGAACGTATTTCTATTTAATTTCTTTATAAACTTTAAGAACTCTTATACTCTTTCGTTTACGTAATCAACTGTTTTATTTTTATAAAATGATAAGAAAATCGGTGAATTGCGTATCATAAAGTATACTTGCGAATGCATCGAACACTATTAATGCACCTAAATGTATGCATAAATTGAAATAACTATGAAATATAAAAATAATTTGTAAATATATGCACATCTTACACAACTGTTATTTTTCCTTATTATTTGGTTAGCTTAAAGCTCTGTAGATACTTCTCCTGGTTTTCAATTTCGGATTTACGTATTTGTATTTTGTTATAAATTTTGCTTGCATGTTGCTCTATATTTTCCCAAACTTTACGTTCCTAAAACAGATTGTATGGACATTCATTATCAATAAATAGTGAAGTAGAGTAAAAAATAAAAGCAAGATATAATGGGGCAATTTTAATATTATTAAAGTTTATCGCTTAAGCGTTGTCTAAAAAGGCGCTATATTATACGCATAAACTTCAATATACCATAAGAAGAAACTGTTAAATTTATGATTTTCATGTGTCTTTTTTTAAGTATGATCATAAATTCAAGAACAAATCAGACATATCTTGTAGTTTTTTTTTGTTAGTTAGAAATATTGGTAAAAAAGCTGCATTTTATTGTATAATTTTGAAATTGCCTAGTGCTTTTACTATTAGCATTTTATATATATAATCCTGTAAGGCTAGAATTTAAATTTGTATACAAATAATTTAAATATATAAGAAAGATTTAATTTTTTAATTATATCATAAAAAAATTAATTGATCGAATACAATGTTAAAAATACGAAGTATTAAAAATTAAATAGTCAAAATATAGGAATAAATCTATCTGTGACCAAAAAATATCGTGAAACATGAAAATTATAATTATAAATATATTATTTCTAGTTACATCTATTAATTAATTTATTTTATATAATGCATTAAAATTTAATTAAAATTTACAAATAATACTTATCTAGATATTATCTTTTAAATAATTTAACATTGACTTTGATTTTTAATAATTTAATTTTTTATTTATTAGCTTGTAAGTATTTAATTTAGCTTTTTGATTTTGATATAAATAGAACAAAATGTTATACAACTAAAGCGCATACGAAGATATATAACAAGAGGTTAATAAATAAATCTATATGGTATCTTAATTCATAAAATTTACCTGATTTGTTGAAAATTTTCTTATTTTATATGTCGCCAAAATATCATTGATATAGTTGTTTATCTAAAACAAATGAGTTGGATATTTACTATTAATAAATAGTAACTTTTATATATACACACATATATGTATATATGTATATATATACCCTATATATAGGGTGTATCTGAAATGATGCTAGAGGTCAAAATAAGACTTTTTTTTCTTATGAACATGGGTCCGCAAATGAAACCCCCTCCGAGCTAAAATTCGAAAATGTGTGAAATACGTTCCTATTTTTTCATTTTAGTGGCTTACTTTACTTCATAATTTATTGGGCTATACCAAATTTCAACTTTCTGCCATTTTTTTCTGAAATACAGCCAATTTTTAATTTTTTCCCCAAACTTTAGGGGCCTCTAGCTCGGAGGAGGGTTCATTTGCGGACCCATGTTCATAGGAAAAAAAGTCTTATTTTGACCTCTAGAATATGCTCCTAAAATTTAGTGCATCATTTCAGATACACCCTGTATATATGACAATTTAATTTAATTTAAAAAATATTAAATTTTACGAAAATAGGTTCACATGAAATATTTACCACGTCAAGTTCTTGCTGAGAATATACATGATTAATAATAATAGTTAATATTGCAATCATGTTAAATTTGCTATAGAAACAAAATAAAAAATATGCAGATTACAAGCTTTCGTTATGATTAAGAATAGCGTAAAAATATTATACAATTTTTACCTGGGTATTTTGGGTTCTATAAAATATAAAATTTCATATAATATATATATAAGCATATCCTTGTCCTTTACATGTTTTGCAATAATAAAGGGGAAACTATCAATAAAATCTTTGGCCAGTAATTCTAACTTTTTAACTTTACTCAATTCTTGAATTATAATTGTATTACTTATTATAATCAAATAACTTTTGATAATAGTAGGTTCAGCGCAAGCCAATAATTTGATAAGTTTGTTATCATAAGTCTCTTCCCACCTCCTAAACATTTCCCACCAAATGGAATAATTTAACATGGCTAAACCGTTACAATAAGTCCATTCTTTCCACCATGGAAAAATACTATACAAAAATAAAATTTTGTTAGGAAAATTTAACCTACGGTTTTGCGTATTTTGATAGAATAATTTATCTCATATACGTCGTATTATAATAGATGCAGAAAACCGTAGCTAAAGAATATTGTGAACATATAAGAAAAATTACTTGTGTGGAAATTGCCAATATTCTTTCAATATATCGTGGGCTTTCTTTCTACAGTTGATTTCACCGAAAAGACATGCCCATTTTGCAGCCTCTTCTCTTAAAGATTTTCTAAAATCGGGCTCGTATTTCTTAATCGGGCTTGAAAAATCGATGATTTCATCATATTCAAGTTTTTGAAGTAGTATATTGAATATTTTGTTCATATTTTTCTAATAATCGTTAAACAATATAAAATATTAGTTTTTGTTACCATGCGTACTCTAAAAAAATTCTTTACTTTATATATTATTATCTATATATTTGTATGTTGAATTACAGCAAATATGTTTTACATGCAACTTTCTAATATGTAACATATTTATTGAGTAGAAATTAATTAATAACTACCTTAATAGCATCAACTTCTAAATCCTGTAGTTGAAAAACACTCGACATTTGTTCTAAAGCTTTGAACATAGGATACCATGCCACATAATCTTCCTCTCGGTGTAAATATCTCGTGAGATTCCAGAATATAGAAGAATCGAGTTGGCGTGCTATCATTAAGTGAAACGCGTCATCGATAAGTTGAGCACGATTGAGAACATGTATGTTCATGAAATGCGGCGAGTCTAGATAATTCGAAATTAATTGCCAGTTTTTAGCATCGTAATTGACCCTATAATATCCTGATAAACAACAATAAATTTTTACATTAATCATTTTTTTAATGAATTATCAAAAATATTTTTAAATATCTAAATATATGTTTTTATAAAGCATATTAAAAGTGTATTAAACATGAATGTACCAAATGTAGAATAATTGTACTATTATAAAAATTTTAGATTAATATTTATTAATAATACAAAACTTTTTATGTTATTTTTTCAATTCATGGTGTGTGGAAATTAAAATTGCGCCAAAAATTTTGTATACATTCGAATTGATTTGTTACATAAATTAATTTTATTATTTGTATTATAAATAATCACTATATTATGTTTTAATATGCATTATTATATGCGTATTTTCAAACATGCGTAACATAAAAATTAAGCATTTCAAAGAAATCTTGATTGCATTCGTAGTGTAAAAATTGTTGCTATTTATTAATATTTACCAGTTTGTTTTACGTTGAACATTATCCATTCAGACTCGTTAAACTCTCTATCAAAACAATTATTTGCAATATCCAAAATAAACACATGCCTTCCCATATCTGACATATTTAACCAAATCTCAGGTAAGGTATCGTTAAAATTGAGATCTGCTTGCGTAGTATACGTTAGAGGTATGCTCCAATTATTTGATGTATTGAGAACTTCTAGTGTTATATTTTCAAAACCACCAAGATTCCGTATTACTTTCAAGACGGGATAATGCTTTTGCTTCATCCAAGGAGCCATCTGTTTTGTTATATTAAATCCTTCAAATGGAAAGTATGGTATTTTATCGAAGGCAGTTTGCATAACTGTCCAGAAATCATTAAAAGCGCCCCACTTATATGTACTGAAATTGTAAATTTTAATATTGTTGAAAGTAAACAATGGATAAATTATTGCATTAAAGAATATAAAATTATTTTTTTATTTATATTCGCATACTATATATATAATGTAATATAAGAGAGAAAGTTGCACTTTATTTAAGTTAAATCTTAAATGACAATATGATAAAGAATGAGACACGAGATTCTTTCTCTTTTAATTAAGATCATGAGAAATAAATGAATATGTTAATGTGATTAATGTAATCTAAACACATGTTATAATTAAAATCAAATAAAAGGAACAAATAAATTATAGCTTTTGCTTTATAAAGCGAAAGCAAAGGATTGAATATTAAAATAGAAGAAAAATAAATGAAAAGAAAACATAATACACGCAGAAGACGTTAAAGTCATTTACGCCTTAGGTTGTAAAGTAAGAAAATTTGAGCCTTCATAGGAATTAACTTTTTTAGATAAAATGAAAAACAGAAAGAGAAAAAGCAATCACAGTGTCAATCAGATAAAAAGCAATAAGATATTAAAGTAGATATATTCAATGATCCAGAATGTATTTTTTGTATGTCATACAAACATACATAACTTACTGTTTACAAAATAATACAATAACTAAAATCTTTTATAGAACTATTATTATATACATATATACTTAATATGTTTAACTCAATCGTATGTATTAGATTATTAGATTATTAGATTATTAGATTATTAGATTA